GCACTTCCGCACCCGGGACAAACATTCTGCCATTTCAGCAGCCACCAGAGCTGGAGCTGACACAGACCCTTGTGCTTAGTGGGGAGCATGGGGTATTATGCTCTGGGCTGGGTTATGTTACAGGCACGACTCATTTCTCACTGTTCCTAACTCAGTTTGGAGAGCACATCTGGGGGTTTTGGTAACCTGCTGACAGAGCAGAAATTTCATTTCTCTATTGAAGAGAAAGGAGATTGCAGAGGAAATCACTACATAGAATCTCCTCCTCCAGGGCTTCATCAAATTCGCCACCCTGATCTGGTTGGGGGCAGCCAGCCCATGGCCAGGGTTGGAGATCGATGATTTTTAATCCTACCCAACCATTCTGTGATCCTATGAAAACAAGGAGTATCAGTAAAATGTCAGCACCACTGCAGCCCTGACACTGTACCTCTGAAAGGAGGGGCACAGCAGCCTGGAGAGCCCCCAGCATGGGTGACAGCTGATAAGTAGCATTGTAGCTATGGATACTGGAGCTCAGCAGCAATAAGCAAGGCCAGACCTGAGGTGTCCTCTTCCTCAAAAGGTTTCAGCTCTGGGGAGGGGTAACTGAGGTGCAGGTTTCACAGGGGAACCCACTGCACATAGACCTCGAGGTTTCACCCAAGAGCACATATGGATCCAAGAAATCACATCCTACTTGTGTTTCTCTGCTCTATCAACTTTAGATTATGATATCTCAGTCTCCCGATCCAACTGAGATGCTGCCCTTGAAGCCAGACCTCAGGTGGCTCCCTATAGCTCTGATCCTTGTGGATGCCTTCCAGCTTGGTATATTCCATGTGTCTGCGGTCTCTGTGGAGATGAGAGTTGCTGAGCATCTCACTGGGGAGAAGGTAAATTCTCACTTGACATGCCAAGAGATTTCAGTATCCCCAGAGCAGGAGAGTGCCACAGAGATACCTCTAAGTAGACACCTACATGAGGAAAGCCTCATCGCAAGGCTGCACCCCAATGTTCTCCTGCCCTATGGGCTTCTCTCACCACACAGCACAACGACCACTCAATGGGAGCATGTAGCTCTCCAGTCCACCCAACTGCCATGCTCCAGATGTGCAAAAACTCAGTAACACAAAACTTGCTCCAACAGCTGCACCTTGCTCGACAGCTCCTCCGGCCCCACCTTGCTGTGGGTGCCTGTCTGGAGGAGCATTCCCATGACACCAGCAGCAGATTAGTAAGCTGATTTCCCACTGTTTGAAGCTTGCTGAATGCTGGAGGCAGCTCCCATGCCTTCCGCTGTTCCTACTCCCCCTTCCCCAAGCCCTCACACTGCTGCAAGAAGTTTGAGCCCTTCCCTTTGCTTCCTACAGCCCTGTAGCTCAGGCTCCGGGTGGCTGCGCCTAATCCTGTGTTGACACAACAGCAACATTCCCTCTGTGCTGAACAGCAAGGGGCAATTCCATGAGGATAGCGCAGAGGAATTGCTGCCCCCTGAACACGAGCAGAGATTTTTTATTCCATTCCTTCCTCAAACACTCAAATCTTTGCAACTTGGGTGTCAGCAAACTCTTCCATGAGCATCTGGTAAAGCAATGGTCATATTAGTATTAATTGTTTTAATTCCGGAGAGTCATTTTGCTGTCTTGCATGTAGAGATTTCACTGATAAGCACTACACAGGCAGAAGTAGATCCGAGAAGGGTTGGGTAGGAAGGGACCTCAGAGACCATCTGCTTCCACCCCCATGCCATGGTTAGGGTTGCCAACCACCAGACCATGCACTGGATCAGGCTGCCCAGAGAAACGCACTCAACAAATGCACCTGCGTGTCCTCGCTGCATCCGAATCACGCCGTCATCGCTACGCACCAAACATCACCTGTCCTCTGATACAACCTGAGTCATTCTCAGAGGGATCTGAGTCACAACATCAGGCAAAACCCCACTCACTGAGGTCAGTGGCACAAGTTTCCCTGTGACCTCACAGCCCCCCGTGCTTCCACCCGAGGATGCGTGAGGGACAGCTGCAAAACCCTTCAGCCTCACTCACATCCCAAAGCCTTTCCAAAGCAATTTTATCCTGCACCTACGGAACACAAATATCTCACAAAACCTTTCAGAATCCAGCACCATCGGTTCCATACAACTCCCCGACAGAAGCCTACATGAGCACAGTTCGCTCAGCCCACCCCCTTCAAATGTCAACGCGGCCCCACAACGCCCGTCCACGCACCAGCTGGACACCTCGGCTCTGCACACCTCGGCTCTGCACACCTCGGCTCCGCGCCCCCCGCTCCGCGCCCCGCTCTGTGTCTGACAGCCCCGGCAGCAGCGCGGTGCCCACGCGGTACCTTGGCGGGCAGGCTGAGCAGCACGGGCAGCAGCGCCAGCGGCGCCCCCAGCAACACCACGGCACGCCGCACGCTCCACGCCTTCTTCACCACCGCCCCCAGCGCCGCCATCCCGCATCCCGCACCCCGCGCCGTTCCGCAGCTTTATACCGGGGCGGGATGGATGAAGGAGGGGAGAACGAGGCCGCCCCGCCCGCCGGGAGGAACGCCCGCAGCCCGGCCCGCCCCGCTCCGGACTCGGGTCTCTGTCCGACAGCGGCTCCGCTGCGGTTGCGTGATTCTGTTATTCGGTCTAAGCGGGGGCTCGGATGTGTGACGATTTGTTTCGCGGTGCCGCGTGAAGCGCTTTTCTTGTTAAAAATAAATGAACGCTGAACAAAAGCGCAGCGGTGCGGAGCGGGACGGGACCATGGAAACACCGGAAAGACAAAGTCTTGGCCGCCACCAGGGTAAGGCTCAGGAATCAAGTGAGGAGCGTATGACTGCAGCCCGGCCGGCCCTGGTACAGCCTGACGGGAGAGGATGCTTCAGTCTGAGCCGAGAAGGAAATTGAGGAGCTGCAGCCCTGGACAGGACCCCTCCTGCACTGCTGTGCACAGGGCCGAGAGAGGGGCACACACCATAGCACTTAGGCTGAAGCTCTAACAGATGGATCAAAGCCGGAGGAGCTGAGCATTCTCTGCTTTTTGCATCAAGGTTGGGGTTAAAGGAAGCTAAGGAGAGAAGGGAAAGCAATATAACCCTCTGCCTTAGTGCTCCAGCAGCATCCTCTGAGTGCTTTAAAAGCATTCAGAACCTGTGAGAGTTGGGGCCCAGATACATGGGGGATGTATAGAAATCTTGCTCAGCATGGAGACCCATCCCTTCCTGCAAATAATCAGCTCTCTGCAGAGCTACTGCCTCCATGCCCATCACTCCTACCGCATCAAAGGCGTTAGAGGCAAGTGAATCAGATGAAAAGGCAGACAGCCCACTGGGGAAAGCTCTTGTCTTACAGAAGCCCCGAATCATTGGCACAGAGGGGATGAGAAGTTAAGAGGCAGAGTGTAGTGGTACAGCACAGAGCCAGGCTGCTCCCCCAGCACAGCCATGCTCCAAATGTTCCTCTCCGCTTCCTTAACGGACAGCTTTGCACAAATGGTAACAAATCAGTCCATCCCCACACCCACTCCAGGCAGGGGCTGAAGCATCGTTACTGTGGCTGCTTTTGGAGCTGAACAGACACAAAAGGTTGGCTGGGCACTGCTGGGGCTGCTGGCACAGTGAGGATCCAACATCCGCCTGGCTCTGGCCCTGCAGCCATACAGCCCCACTGGCAAACACTCCTTCTTTTGGGGCCCAGAGAAAGCACAGGGAGAGCTATGGGGACTTTCCTCTGGCCTTTCTGTGCATAACATCAGGAATAAAACTGTATCGGGAAAGGAAAATAAAAAGGAGGTTCCTGGGCTGTCTCCATTCATTTCCCAGCTGAGAGCACTGCAGGCTGTGAGCTGCTTCACCCGGCCCCCAGCTCCTCGCATGGGGAGAAAGGTGGTGGGACGCAGCCTGTGCCTGGCCAGGGAGAGGCTTTATCTCCCTGTGGTGACCCTCACACACTGAACTCTGGGCTACAAATGAGCTTTTATGCTTTTATGGCACTGACTTGGTTTCCTATCAGCACTGATGGGCTGCAAAAGGTTATCAGTGTTTTGCATCTTGCAAAACTGGGAAATATCAATTTCCTGCAGACATCAAGGCACAGACTAAAAAAACCCACACTGTATCACCTACATGCAGAGCTTACATATGCACACAGCAACTGCCCACACAGAAGAGGTGCTGTTCAAAAGTCATGTAACAGCATACCCAGGTTATGCAACTGCGTTCTCATCCCTATTTCTTGCCATACTAGTATGCATTTTCTCCCACAACTGTTTTTCTACTTGGAGGACTTAGAGGTCTACAACCCACAGGTTTCCAAAAATCCCATTATTTTAGTTCTGTACTTATGCCATTAGTGGGCTAAGCAAAGTTCATTATTATTACTGAAAAAGTAATATTACTTAAAAGTAATATAGTAATAAAAATAATTCTACCAGGCTTGTGAACCTGAGCTGGGTGGCTGCCTGCCCTTTTCCATAAGAGAAATCACCAACAGCAATCAAACACCAGAAACACAATCTCATCAATAACCAGCAGTCCCATTCAAACCCTTAACACTCCAAATTCTTTCTATGAAACTCTATTACTTCTGTTCCCTTTGCCATTCCCTCTTTCCTTTTTCCCTCCTTCCCAGCTTGCCTGCACACCCTCCATATTCCTTCCACTCTGGGAGAAGCCAAGGGCAGACCGCTCCCAAAGCAGTGGGAATGAAACATTGGAAATGAAGCTGTTTGTGGCAGTCTGCCCTTGGTCTCCTGCAACATTTCAGATGTAGAAAGCAGCAGACCGACCAGCTGCCCGTCCAGCACACAACTACAAATATTTGCTGTTGAAAGACCTTTTTTTCCCCAAATGCAGACTTTTTTTCAGTGCTGGTGATGATGGCAGGGAGACACCCAGTGGCTGTGTGCAATGCAAGCCATCACCCTGCACTATCCCACCATTCCATGTCCTCTCAGGTGGCAGAAAGGACCTCTTTGGGATTTGTGAAGGCCAGCATACCCCTAGGGTTGGTGCAAACAGCTCACCTGGATAAGCTGGGGCAGAACATCACCGGTTCTCCTGGTGTCACACATAACTGTGACCCAAGGATCAGCTCCAAGGTACTATAGCAGTGACACAGGCAGGGATGCAGGGAGGTGCAGGTGGGTATTCTGCAGGTCTGGAGCCTCCTCTTTGTGGATACATCACAGATGGAAACAGTGACACTACACTAATAAGAGAGAAGCTAGAATTATTTATTAATATAATATAGATATGATACAGTGCTTAACAAAGCTTGATTGTAAATAAGTACACAACAAGATTTGAGATGGCTGGATACAGTGGATTGCTTACTGATGAAGGGCAGGGAAAAGCCACACGCAGAGGAGCTCCTCCCATTGAGTCATGCAGTTGAGAGCAGACCCCTTTTCTTTCTGAACTGCTTGAACCACATAGGTAAGGAGCTGGATCCACTCCTATAGTGCCATATTTGGTCAGTAGTTTATGTCTAAGGGGATTATACATGCACAAAGATACGATCTTAGCAAAGCTAACAAAGCCTAAAGCAAACTGTTGATCACTTACTGAGGATCTGTGTTGGCAAAGCATCTTGGCATCAACGTGTAAAAGATCTGTGCAGGCATAACCTCCAGGGCATCCCCGCTCCAGGGCAGATCCTGTCATGCTGCCATGCAGGAGAGCTCAGGTACTCTTGGGCCATTCAATATTTATGGAGTCAAGATGACGGATTCGTGGTCATACGTTGTATTTTAGCCACATACCAACCGGCCCTCTGCTGTTGAACTGCCCCCCAGTTTGAGACAGGTCTGTGGCCATGAATCTGTCTTAGCCCAAGTGCTATGAGTGCTGTTGTTCACAGCCCTCCTGTGCAAGGGCCGAGGGAGGGAGCTGGAGGAAGAAGTGCATGTATGGGGGGAGCACACCACCACAATACGCACCTGCTGGGATTTTTCCACTCTCAGATAGCTCAGCCCTCATTACAGCATCCCGGCCATAAAAACTTGCAGTCCATCAGCTTTGTTTCTACTCCACGCTCCTGCAGAGAGGACTGCATTTTAATAAACATACTCATAGTTAGAAACAGACTGCTTCAAAGGGCTCTGCAAACATAACACAGCCCTGGCATCACCGGGAGGCAGGCAGAGCAGTGTTTGTACAGATGGGGCAGTGGGCAGGGAAGGCGGCGTGCTGGGGGTGTGGGGGGCTCCGATCAGGGGCTCATTAGCTCACATCCACCTGCTCCAACTGCGCTGCAAGGCTCGGGTCCAGCACCCTGCAGGAGCCTGAGCGACTGAATGTTGCTGCATTCGCTCTCTGCGCAGCCCAGCCTGCCCGGCTACAGGGCACTGCCCCAGGGCTGTGCGCGGGGCAGATGCACAGGTTAGCAAGCCTTGGCGGCATCCCTTGTGACTTTAAAAACAAAACAGAAGAAAACAACCCATGGCGACCCCGGGGCAAAGCTGTATCTGAGGCGGTGGAACCCGGGCCCCACGCTGGAGCCGAGCACTCGCCCAGTGCCTCCTCTGGCAAGGAAGTGAATGCGCGCCGGGCACGGGCAGCCCGCAGCGCTAGGACACTTGCACCGCGCGGGCCGCGAACCGCGAAACTTCGACTAAGAAAGCGACGACATCAGCGCTGCGCCACCGCCGAAAGCTTCCCAACCGCCGCTCGCGGCCTTCTTCCCTGCCTCACCGCCCCCAGCGCGGCGCCGCACACAGCAGCGCACAGCGTGGGGCGGAGCTGCGGGCTCGGCCCCTCCGTTCAGCCCATTCTCAAAGCCCTTGCGGCTCCATCACAGCAGCAAGAGGGAACAGCGTTCCCTTCTCCTAAGGGGCACAGAACCTCAACTCCTTTCTGAAAGCGTCAAAGCTCACAGAGCACTTAAAGCAGGACTGGTCGCCCTGTACCATGGGCTCATAAACTTCCTCTGGGCCATCTTACATTCACACCATTACACCATAAATCAATTAATATAAGGAAAAGTTACCAAAACCCACCAATACCTCCCACAGGTAGGCAGGACGTCACAGTGCAAGCAGATCACCATATAAACCTACAAAAACAGAAATTTGCAGCAGATTTCTTGCATTTCAATTAATGTTTCTGAGCAGAAAACTCTTCATTAACAACCGTTGCATATACTTAACAACAGAATATCAACTGAAAACTAACTCAAAATTACTACTGAAAAAAAGAAGCAACTGAACTTGTCCTGTGTTTAGTATTCTATTTCAACCATTGCTCGTGTCCTGGAATTCAGAGTCTTGAGACGTTTTAGCATGTGCAGAGGCCATGATAATGGACTGAAACACTTTGTAGTCTGAGAAAACAACACATCTGTTTTCCTTGATGACCTTTTGTTGATGCTCTGTAGGTACTCCCAGGCCCCCCTCACCTCCCAGGAAACAGCAATCCCTGGGCTGAAAAGATTACCAGGTGTTGTACCTGCACAGAGAACAAGGCCCATGGAGCAGAGCTGCTTTTCAACAGAAACATCTAATGCTGAGGTCAGAAGCGACCTTCAGTACTCACATTTCAACATTATTTGGGTAACTTTACAACAGTTAGAAATCCAATCCAATTTATTTTATACAAGACACTATTATCAAAATAGTAATCTGTGCAATAAAAGTAGCTGGAAGTATAAATAACCTCCCAGGCAGAAACAAGCAGGAATATTTCCCCATCGCTGCCTGCTGTCACCCAATCATGGACCTCTTCCTCCCCCTGAGCCGCACCTCATCCAGACGTTTGATCACTGGGCCAGATTTCTTAGATGTGGCCGCATAGCTCTGTAGCAGAGCCTGGAACACAGTTTCTGTATCGGGATGGGTACTAAGGAAGGCTTTTTCCAGCACATATAGATCGACTCCCTTATCCTCAGGAAGACCTGATACAAAGCTGAGCCCAAAGTCAATCAGCACCAAGTCCAGCTGCTCCGCGGGCGGCCGCAGCAGCATGTTGGACGTTGTAAGGTCGCCATGGATGAGGTCCTCATCGTGCATCCTGGCCAGCAGCTGGCCCATCTTCTCTGCCAAGCCGAGGAGGCTGCCGGCATTGCTGCCGCCCCGCTGCACGGAGTAGATGTGATCCTGAACGGCGATCGCGCCAACAATATCTTCAAGGTAGATGCAGTTGGATGCATAATCCACGAAGTAGACCACGGGAGCCGGGATCCCTGTTTCAAAACAACACAACACAACGAATGGAACACTGGCCGCAGGCAGACGGGAGCTCCCGGCTCCGCGTTACCCCCGGCACAGCGGTGCCCGGCCCGGCAGAGCCCACCTGCCCGCCGGCAGCGCAGCAGGGATCGCGCCTCCTGCGCCGTGCGCCGCCGGCCGAGCCGCTCCTCCAGCGCCGGGTGCCGGTAGCGCTTGGGGAAGCGGAGCTTGGCCACGGCCGCCCGCCCCAGGAAATTGCCCCGGTAGACGCACGCCTCAGCGCCCTGCTGCACCAGCTGCAGCCCCGGTAGCGGCGGCGGCGCCGCCTCGGCTTCGCCAGGGCCCGGCACGCCCGTGTCTGCCCCGTCCTCCGCCCCGGCTGTGCCCGCGCCACCCGCCGCCTCCGCCGCCGCCTCCGCCGCCATCACCAGGCCCCGCCGCAACACCGCGCATGCGCGTCGCTCGCCGCTTCGGCAATCTTCGGCGGCCAGCGCCGGAAAGCGTCGAGCTCGGCGCGCTCCTCCGCCCCCAGGGAACGGCGCGGCCCCGCATCCCCCGCCGGGCAACGCCACGGCTTCGGCTCGGATCGCTTGCCGGTACCGTAGGTGTCTGCTCTTCCTTGGGTGTCCCCAGACCCACAGCTCCACGTGGGTGAAGGACGGCCACCCTCACTGCCTGGAGCAGTGCTCGGGGCTTCGTGGTGCAATGAAAACCCCCTGCTTTGCAGATAACACGACTTATGGTCCAAGAGACCATGTAAATAAAATAAAAAATTGCTGTGGCACTCTTGGCTGTGCCACAATTCCGTTTTGTCCTTGTTTTCTCCTCCACAACATTTGTTTCTTCTTCAGAATATTTATCTTTTATTACCACATTCCGTGCTTGTTGCTCACACGGTGGGATCGTGCCTAGCAAATATTGACACTGCTTCAGTCCGTTCCTAAACAACATTCCCGAGCTGTCCCTGATGCGGGTGAGCCATCCTGCTGCTGCTCTACCCTGCAGGATCCCGCCTGCTGGGCCAAGGAAGCAGATGTGTCACTGCACTCTGTATTTACAGTTTGCCAATGCCACAAACAGCCAAAGGAACCAGAGGTTTTCTTGGCACTGTGGGCATATTTTAGCTAATAGCTCCTGCACAGCCCCAACAGACACGGACACAACCTGTGAGATGCCCTCCATTCATCACGTTGGCAATCGCACCAGCCTTCTCCCATGCTGGGGTTAAGGAGAGGTTCTGCACCAGGTCAGGATTCTCTCTCCTCTTGCACTGCTATTTTCATTGTGATCGTGAGGGCTTTCTCTGCTGCTCCTGCCCTCAGGCACAGGGAGTTCCAGCGATCAGAGCCAAGCAAAGCAGGCTGCAGACACCTGGCTGTGGCACCCAATGCAGGCTGCTGTCAGCAGCACCAGGCACATCAGGCAGCACATACTTGTGACTCAGGCCGGGTGTTTTGTTATTCAGCTGCAAAGCAAGAATGCACCCTCGCTGCCCTGACATCCAGCAGCCAAGAGCATGATAAGGATCAGATGGAGAAATGGCACTGCCAAGACACACAACCTCGAGATGAGGAGGAGAGCATCTCAGCAGAGAGCAAAGCTGGAAACATGAGGCAGGAGCTGCCGTGTGGCCAAGGGCGTGCTGAGCCCCCTGGATCCAACCCCTCCCAGCCCCTCACACACAGCTCCAGAACCAAAGCAGCAGCCCTCAGCAGGCCCTCAATGCCCACGAACTCCAAGCGTTACAATGAGAAGCACGGTATTTTAAAACCCACAAGGAAAGATTTTTTCCAAAGTTATCCTCGCTATACATCACAGCGGTTTTTCATGGTGTGGTTTCAGAGCACCATAACCCACAGCCATGCACAGTGCCGATGCTGCAGCTGGATTTCTGCACATACTGATGTAATCTTTTTGGCCGCCTTTTGCAAACATACCATAAAGCTCTGCTGTGCTCCCCAGGACCTCACCTCCCTGCTGCCTTTGCTAGTAATGTTTATTGCCCTGCCAGAGAACAGGAAGCCTCCAGAAAATGTCAGGGGTGGCTTTATGCTGGCAGATAAACAAATGCTGAGTGACCAAGGAGAAAATGTAATTTCTTCCTTCTCACGCTGAGTTCATTGGAGGAGTTGCAGTTAAACATGCAGCAGTTGTTCAGGCAGGTTGTAGATCATGGATGTGTTAACCCAGCGGATGCTGAGGACCACAGGGTCTGCGGGAAGAGAAAAAACTGCAGGTCTCCATTTGAGTGTCGTGAGAGCTGGCCATGATTTCAGAGCTATTTAAGCTACTTTAATAGGAATTGCAAATCTCATTGTGGAGTCTCTTCTGTGAACACCGCTGGTTTCTGGAGGCTGGTGTTTGTGTTTGAAGCCATTCTTCACCGACTGTATGATCTCCATGCAGCTGTCAGACTGCACGAGACACACCATTGCAGATGAGGTATTTCTGCATACTGTATTCCCACTGCAATTAGAGTATATGAATGGGAAGCATTTCTTTATAAACGCAGATGATTTGAAACGCTTTTAATATTCACTATGGCTTTGAGAAGAAACGAGAGCTGAGCCTTTGATCAACTGCTGCCCATACTGACAGACCGGGGTGACATGATCCTGTATGGCCCATCTCACGCATCTCAAAACCATGAAAAAAAAGAGTACTGTGGGTTTCCAGGGCAGAGACATGGCATGCAGTCCCTCCACAACGTAGAACAAAGATTCCTAAAATGTTTTTCTAAATTCCTCATGAAGTTAGTATGTGGAATGACCACTGTAAAGCTCTTTTAACGACACCACGTGTTTTTCACTCCTTACCTGACCTGTTTGCTTCTGGATGTGTCAGAGGGCTGTGCCTGCACTGCATCCACAGGTGCAGTGATGGCTGATGCAGCTGAGCTGGTACTGTGCAAAAAGCTTTGGCTCACAGCGTGCCAGTGGCATTAGAACTGTGTGACGAAACAAATCGTTCCCTGCGGTCACAAACCAGCTCACAACGCAGGCTTGTGGCCATTCCCACTCATCCTCCAGCACAGTCGCTGCTGCGTGACTCCGTGAGGTCTCAGAGTCCTGACAGCACATTGCCCTGCTCTGCTCCCCACGCTCATTAGGTGACAGCAGGCTTATGAGCGTTGCATGCACATCACAGCACACACACATACTTCACCACATCACAACACGCCCAGTGACTATGGTTTGTGTGAACAGCACCAAGGGAGAATGTTTCCATTGCGTTAAAGAGTTTCACTCTTCTAGGCGTATAAAGCTTTGTAAAGTCCTCATTTTACAAACTGCAATTTGTGTTATATGGATTTAGCCTCAGATTCAGAAAACAAACCCTGCCTCCAAGCACAAGTCCCAGTGCCTTGCATGCAGCAGGAAGGGTTCTGTTCCACTGAGCAGAAAGAGGACGTTAATTGCAAGGAAAGTTGAACACCAGAACATTTTGCCTAATGGAGCACCGTGCTGCTGGAAGGAGACAACCTCAGGAAACGCAGCCTTTCTTTTCAACAGAAGAGAAAGGTAAGAGTTCAAAGTCAGCCGTGCTGCTCTTTTTTGCTTCGAAATGGCCCATCTTTTCCTAGCAGCCTTTCTTTGGCTTTCCAACCCACAAACCTAAAAACTCTTACCAAAATCCCCATCTCCCGAGGGCTGTCTAAAGGCCTTCTAGTGCGGAGGAGCAAAGCTCTGCAGGCAGAGCGGGGACATGAGATCCCTGCTCCTGCTGCAGCGCGACCGAGACCGGGACAGCGGGACCGGGACAGCGCCGTGTCCCGGTTTTAGACCGCTCAGCAACACCCGCAAGCAGCTCGCTTCGGTAAAAGATCCCCAGCCGCACCGACCAGGGAGAAGGAGGCCGCGCCGGGACCCCCCGGTCCTCCCCGAGGCCCGGCCGGGGGCAGGGCAGGAGCGACGTGGCGCTGCTCGACTCCGCTCCGGCCGCCGGACCCCGCTCCGCTCCGCCCCGCTCCGCGCCCGCCGCCGCTGCGGAGCGCCCGGGGCTCGGCCGTCGCGCCATGGGTGAGTGGTCCGGGGCCGCGCTGGGGAGGGGGCGGCGGGCGGAGGGCCCCGCGGCGAGCGGCGGCCGTGCCCCGGTAGGAGGAGAAGTTCTCAGCTTTGAGACTTCTCCCGAAGGCTCGGGCTGCCTCTCCCTCCCTCTCTCTCTCTCTCTCCCGCCCAAGTTTCCCGTCTCCTTTTTAGCGCTTCCAGCCCCGGTTTCCTGTGACACGGCCCCTAAAGCCGTGCCGGGAGCGCTGGCGGGGTGGAGGAGGCCGTGCGGCGGCGGGGCGACGGAGCGCGTCCACGGGCATCGCAGTGCGGCCGGGCCGGCGCCGCACCGCTGCGACCGCGGCGCTCCGGGGGCGGCTCGGGCTCAGCCCGGCACCGCGCACCGCCCCGTCCTGCAGCGCAGGGCATCGCCCGGCCCGGCCCCGTGCGGCATCCGCCGAACTTTCTGTCCTAACGAGCTCTGAACCCCGGATACCTCGACGGCTTCAGAGCAGACCGTACAAAGTTGGATCCCGACCAGCGTTCGTGGCCTGCCCACTGAGTTAGCAGCGGCGTCTGATTGAATCAGCGCTGGTATTTACAGCAGGCTGAATGGATCCAGGCAAGCTGGTGGCTTGGAACGAGTGGCTTGCCCACTTTATGCAAAGACTTCTGTTCTCACTGAGCAAATATTTTTTCTGGTAATCTATGTGATATGTGTACAAGGAGCAATGCAAACAGGGCAGGTAGTCACACAGCATAGCGGGAGGGACTGGCGGGGGGCTGCAGGGCCATAAGGAACACGAAGGAAACAGAGGCATATGGAACAAATACCAATACAGACATGGCCATCCCAGAGAAATAACCTTTATCATTGGCTGTGACTGTGTGCTGAATAGAGACACTTCCTATTAAACACAGCTTGTGAGGGGGGAAAAAGCCCATAGGCAGTAGTGAGGGAAGTTTTCCATGGGCTGGTGGATGTGTCCACATTCTTTCCACACACGGTTTGCTGAAGTAGTGAATATTTCTAATTAAACAAAGCCAATGTGTGAATACAGATAGTATTACGTGCTGGAAACCAGTGTATAACAGCACAAACTTGCACGTCAATGTACCCTAGCTGTGCCTTCAAAACTGGGTGGGGAGAAAGAGGTCACTGTCACTGCTTGTACCCCAGGATCCCCATGGCAGCAGGGGCTCTGTGTGCGCTCCCCCCTGCCATGCTGAGCAATGTGACTCACGGCTTGCACATGTTTGCCCTTTCATCCTCTCTGCAGGGTGAGATGTGTGTGCAGCAAGCACCTTGTTTTTGTAGGGTTGTTTGGGGCGGGTTGGTCGCTTTGGGTTTGGTTTGGTTTGCTTGTGCTGCTGTTTTTTCTTATTTTAAGTAAGCTGAAATACTTAGGAAAGTTGCATGCTCAGCTGTATGAGAAAGGCAAGGTCAAGGAATCGTTCCTTTTGTTTGGGGCAGACAACAGGGTTGTGAAGACATCCTGCAGACCTGGATCAGACTGAGAAAGTTTGCCTGGTTGGGGATCGTGTGCACCGAGCCCCGGAGAAGGAGAGGTGAAGAAATCAGGGCCATGCCACAAAGTAATGCCAGGAGTGCAAGATTTGATAGGAGAAAAACTCTTGTGAGCAGCACTTTCAGCTACATTAATCATTCACCCTTATTTATTTCCTACAAGTCAGATTTTTTCCCTTACTCTTTTGGTTTCTCTCGACTCCACCAAAGCTGCCCAAATTCACTCGCTCATGCTCAGGGCAGACATAGAACTTAGGGGCCAGGCAGGAGCTGAGGGTTGTGCTCCTGGCAGCAGAAGGCTTTCTCTCTGTTGTTTCCCTATTACACAACAAGAAATATAATTTAAATCCCCATCACCACCTTAGCAAAGTTTGACAAAGAGTCCCTACCTCCCCCTGCCTCATCCCAGCATTTGTTCCTCCCTGAGCTGTGAAGGGCAGCCATCAATCTCCCACTAAATTGCCAAGCAGTGAAGTAGTTAATGCTGCTATTTTCTTTACCAAAAAATCTTTTTTTTTTTTAAATTTCCTTAAATTTTCAACTTAGGTTGAAGTGCATGTGGCATTCATCAGGTCTCACTGCAGGCTTTGCATTCCTGCTCTTTACCTTGCAGTTCTGAGGTCTGAAGATTTTATTTTTAGTGAGATATGAGAGCCTGGAGTTGTTTTTGGGCTGCAGTTCTGAGGGAATCTGCACACTGGGGTAGTTCTTCTGGCCATATAATCACATAATAAATAGAGCCCTACCTCTAGAATACTGCTTCACTGATGAGGAGATGTTAGAGGGAAAACTTCTGCCTTGGTTGCTGCCATTCATGAATTATCTGAAAGACACAGAGGAAGGAAAAGAGATGAAATGTTGTTAACAACTTACCAACTTGGCCAACCATTTCTCTCTTTGCCTGGGCTCAGGCAGGGGAATGGAAAAGAAGATGGTGGTTCACAAAGCCTTAAGTATAGTGCCATCCCCTGTGGATCCTCAGGTTGTTCAGTAACTTTGTATTTCTGTGATAAATGCTCAATGACAATAAAAGTAAAGTTCAGAAGCAACAGCTTCTATGGGTGAATGTAGGATGTCCAGGGACTGCTTGGCAAAGAGCAGGGCCTTCTTGGGTGAGCTCAGGGGAAAAATGCATTGCATGGGGGGCACTGGGCAGTGGCACTGTACTGTTCAGAAACAAGAATTGTGCAGAGCTTGAAGCATGAATTAGGTATGAAATTGGAGGATAAATAAGAATGACCTGTAAGAATGGGACTAGGCCAGGGCAGTTCTGTCCCAGTGAGTGACCTGTGGAATTCCCTGCTGGTGAGGAGTGCTTCTTGTCCTATAGGTGTTCTAAGCTGTAAATCATGGACTGAAACTTTATAACGTTAATGCAGAGCAAGTAGAAGCTGCATTCCCTGCCCTGGACAGTTCTAGTAACTAGAACCAAGAAATAGAGAACTCAGAGGGTCGCATGTACAACACCAGAGAAGCAAACCACTGTCCGAGACTTAAATACAAGTCTTAACAACAAAGCTGTTAACACAGCCCTATCTTCATAGTTCTGAACCCAAAAAAGTGTCACTGCATTCCATGGCAATGTGTGCAGGGCTGGTGAATAGTAAGAGTGTATGCACATGCCTTTGCACATGACCTATGAATGAGGGGAGAAATTCCTTATTGTAGCTTTGCAGATAGAAAACTTTGGGTGTCCTGGAAGAGCTTTTTGCAGATTGTGTGTGCTGATAGCTTTCTGCTAGAGCCAGAAAACTGAACCTCACTTTGCTTACTTGTTTTCCAGGTCGTGCACTGCTGGTCCTCCTGTTGTCTGCAACAGTCTCTCTTCTGGGCGGGCTGATATTTGGATACGAGCTGGGGATCATCTCTGGAGCACTGCTGCAGCTGCAGGCAGACTTCAGCCTTGGCTGCTTCAAGCAGGAGGCTCTTGTGAGCTCCCTCCTGGTTGGAGCCCTCCTTGCCTCTCTGGTCGGAGGAATCCTCATTGACCGCCATGGACGGAGGAGGGCGATTCTGGTCAGCAATGTGGTCCTGTTATTTGGCAGCCTAATTCTCACACTGACCAGGTCGTTTATTGGGCTGCTCATTGGACGCATGACGGTGGGCTTTGCCATCTCTGTCTCATCCATGGCCTGCTGCATCTATGTCTCCGAAATGGTGGCTGCACATCAGCGAGGGCTGCTGGTGTCTCTGTATGAAGCGGGCATCACTGTAGGCATCCTGTTGTCCTACGCACTGAATTACGCCTTTGCAGATACGCAGGAGGGATGGAGGTACATGTTTGGGCTGGCCATGGCCCCAGCAGCCATGCAGTTCCTCAGCATCCTCTTTCTCCCAGTGAACCCTGTTAAACTAAACATCTGGGACTCGGACTGCCAGAAGGGTCTCATTCAATTGCAGACTGCTGAGGACAGAGAGGCAGCAAAGCGGGAGCCCTATAAGGAGAAGCACTACTCATTTCTTGATCTTTTCAGGACCAGAGACAACATGAGTAGACGAACTCTGGTGGGGCTGGGCCTGGTGCTCTTCCAGCAGTTCACTGGGCAGCCCAACGTGCTGGGCTATGCCTCCAAAATCTTCCACTCTGTGGGATTCCAGAGCAACTCCTCTGCCATCCTGGCCTCTGTCGGGCTGGGGGCAATCAAGGTGGTGGCCACACTGGTGGCGATGGCCTTTGCGGACAAAGCTGGCCGCAGAGCACTGCTCCTGGCTGGCGGTGTGGTGATGGCCATCTCCGTCACCACCATCGGCCTCACCAGCTGCATCACCCCACTGGCCATGGCCAGGGACTGCACAGCTGCTGCAGACCCCAACGTGTCCCACAGCCTCCCCCAGCACCCCCTGGGACCCCCGCCCTCCCACATCCCACCAGGCTTAGGAGAAGGCAACGGGCAGGCAGGCCTCAGTTCTGCTGCTACCAAAAGCCTTACAAAAGCTCTTGCCAGTGCTCAGAGCAGTGAGGTTGTTACTCGTTCTTCCCACACTCAGAAAATGGGCTTGGCAGGGCAGTCCGACAAGGAGACAGTGGAGAGCACAGACCCTCCTTTCGGCAGCGCTCCCCTGACAGAACATATGGTTTTAAATTGGATTACGCTGCTGAGCATGATGGCTTTTGTGAGCGCTTTCTCAATTGGATTTGGACCAAGTAAGTATGGTGTTTATATATCCTTGCAACTAACCCAGAGAATAAAACTGGGGCTGATCTTTATAGTCTGCTTGAAACATTCATTATGCATTGGCTTTACCAGGCAGCTGAGTGTCTGGAAACTGGAAATTTATCCTTGTCAGCCTACTGAATCATTTCCTGGTCTTGCAGCTCTGTCTGCTGTGTGGCTGGGACAGCATCATAATCACCTTCTCTTCCATGCTATCACTACCCTTGTAATGTTCTCTTTTTCCTGCTCATTGCAAAATCAGAGCGTCCCATGAGCACTGCCTAATGCTCACAGCACCCTGTGAGGAGGAACACAGAGGGACTTCTCCAGAAAGAGCAGCAGAGCTGG